ACAAGTCAGTGTCACAAGTCAGTCACAACAAGTCAGAGTCACAACAAGTCAGTGTCACAACAAGTCAGTGTCACAACAAGTCAGTGTCACAACAAGTCAGTGTCACAACAAGTCAGAGTCACAAGTCAGTGTCACAAGAAGTCAGAGTCACAACAAGTCAGTCACAACAAGTCAGAGTCACAACAAGTCAGTGTCACAACAAGACAGTCACAACAAGTCAGACTCACAACAAGTCAGTGTCACAACAAGTCAGTGTCACAACAAGTCAGTGTCACAACAAGACAGTCACAATAAGTCAGAGTCACAACAAGTCAGTGTCACAACAAGTCAGAGTCACAACAAGTCAGAGTCACAACAAGTCAGTGTCACAACAAGTCAGTGTCACAACAAGTCAGTCACAACAAGTCAGAGTCACAACAAGTCAGTGTCACAACAAGTCAGTGTCACAACAAGTCAGTGTCACAACAAGACAGTCACAACAAGTCACAACAAGTCAGAGTCACAACAAGACAGTCACAACAAGTCAGTGTCACAACAAGACAGTCACAACAAGTCAGTGTCACAACAAGTCAGTGTCACAACAAGACAGTCACAACAAGTCAGTGTCACAACAAGTCAGTGTGTCACAACAAGTCAGTCACAACAAGTCAGAGTCACAACAAGTCAGTGTCACAACAAGTCAGTGTCACAACAAGTCAGTCACAACAAGTCACAACATCACTACTAGGATCCTGAAGATTTACAAATTTATAAAAACGAGTTTCTTCAGGAGGACGGTCACCAAGAAGACAAACTCTGACTGGAACACCGAGTCCTGCAGGTGTTCAGACCTGCGCAGGTGCTAGGATTCGTCACCTGTGCAGGTGCAGCCAATGGCTGGCCACGTCCAGACACATGCTGAGCTGGAACAGGAAGGTGAAGGAGGGGTAGAGCAGAGACAGGTTGACCAGCAGACACATGGTGGCACAGCGGTCCGTCAGCATGTCCAACATGGCCCCGAACTTAGTGGCTGAAAGACAAGAGTCAGCCTGTCAGTCCTCACTGAGGGAATAACAGACAAAAGACAAGAGTCAGCCTGTCAGTCCTCACTGAGGGAATAACAGACAAAAGACAGGAGTCAGCCTGTCAGTCCTCACTGAGGGAATAACAGACAAAAGACAGGAGTCAGCCTGTCAGTCCTCACTGAGGGAATAACTGACAAAAGACAGGAGTCAGCCTGTCAGTCCTCACTGAGGGAATAACTGACAAAAGAAAAGAGTCAGCCTGTCAGTCCTCACTGAGGGAATAACTGAATAAAGACAGGAGTCAGCCTGTCAGTCATGTTTGAAAAGATGGTCAGAGGTTGGGTCCAGTTCTGGTTCTGGTACCTACACTGGTCCAGAGCTCGAGCAGCGTGACCATCGAAGGCGTCCAACAAAGCGCTCAGCAGGTAGCAGAACATGGCGGGCCACGGGCAGCACTGCATCAGGGAGAACGACACCAGAGCCAACACGATCCGAGCGTACCCTGCAGGAACAATACAGAACCACACTGACCCACTGGACCAGAACCACACAGTGGTAGTTCTGGTACCTGGTAATAGTTAAACTGTAACTACTTCATCTGAAAACTGTAAACCTTTAATAAATCAACTAAGATGCTTTTTAAAGAATTTTTTTTATTGGACCAGACCAACCAGCCCCACTGTGGGCCCTGAGCAAGGCCCACCCCTCAGCTGCCCCACGCCTGCTCACCTGTGCTCACCTGTGCTCACCTGTGCTCACCTGTGCTCACC